ACACACACACAGTTTGGGGCTCTCTGCTGGAACTGCTACCTCCGCGACCCGACCACGGATAAGCGGGAGAAGATGGATGGATGGATGGATAATAATAATGCATTACATTTTTTATTAGAGCGCTTTTACAGGTGCTCAAAGCGTTTTACAATTACACATTTCACATATTAGACATGTAAGAGTCATTACTGTGGACATTACCCACAGGAGCAAATGCAGATAAAGAGTCTTGCCCAAGGACACAACGGCCTGACGCAGTGACTGCCGAGGCGGGATTCGAACTGGAGTTCACCAACACCCCTTGATCTGATGACCAACGCCCCATTAGAGCAAGAGTAGAGCTAATGCATTATTTCAGTTTGGTAAAGGGTGGACCCCCTCTTCAAGCGAGTCATTTTCAGAACTCATATTAGCACAAGCACACTTGCATGGAAATACAATTGGAATCTGATTAACTTCAGAGAACATCTGCTCCATGTGTGGGTGAATCATTACAACTCTAGATTCCTTCAGCTTAAGGCAAGATAGACATAAAAACGAGTGTAAAATATAAAAAAGACTATGTTGTTGGGTGCTATGCAACTGAACCTTGCCACCAAGGCAACCAGAATGCACTCACCAAGGCTTGCAAAAACTCCAATAATGAATGTTTACTGAACTACAGCAGGACAACAATTGTTTATTAGGCACTGACACCGTACTGAAAAAAGCTTTAATATAACTATTTTTATCGGATAGTACGTGTGACTTAATACAATGTTCCCACATGGTGGTGTATACAGTAGACCCCTCAGCATCATCTTAAGGAGTTGAATGGAACATTCCCATTATCCAAATGTTCTGTTTGTTCAGTGACATTTATTTAGTGTTGGGTTTTAGTCTATAAAATGCATTGGGGATGAGTGTACATACCTAAAATATCTCAAACTGGAAGGGACAGAAGGTAGGACACACACACACACACACACACACACACACACACACACACACACACACACACACACACACACACACACACACACACACACACACACACACACACACACACACACACACACACAACCAAAAGTACCAACCTAGCTACGGGAAGAGCAATGATGTTGACCCCAGGAACACACCATCTCTGTCTCTGTCATAGGGACTTGGGGCCTTTTGGTAAGCTGTGTGTGTGAGTAGGTGTGTGTGTGTGTGTGTGTGTGGGCTGGGGTCCGAGAAGTGAGAAAGGATGAACTGTGTGGGAGAGCCATCTATTCACTGCTGACAAGGTCAGAGCTACGAAGGGGAAGAGTCCCCAGCCGTATGCAGAGAAAGAGAGCGGGAGATATATAGAGAGAAAGAGATGGACAGAGGGCGGGAAGAACATGCAAACTTTACTTCTAATTTATTTCCGACATTCCCATTCGAAATATACATATTGTCATAGTAAAGTTGTATATACAATTAATTAACATATAAAACAATAAACAACTGAGTGTATAGCCAATCCAAAGCTTTTGAAGTGTAACATATGATGTGACGGAATCTTACTGCTCATCAACTTCACAGTGAAATGTTTGGAAGTTGTGTATATCATAGTGTATTAGGTGATGCCCGCCGCATGAAGTACGAAGCCGGAAGTAAGCCAGATGATGACGAGGCCGGTCGCACAGGCAATAAGGAGAGAGGGAGAGCGACAGGGAGGAAGGGGAGTAGTGGTGCTGAATCAACAGTGACCAGTGTGCTTTGTCTTCATTATGATCCCAGTGGGGAGTCACAGAGATGCGTTGTTGCCACATACACACATACATACATGCACATCTGTGCCAGGGGAAGCACTAAAATACTCCACTCAGCACATCAGAAGAGCCATGAGGACACATACTTACTCATACACACACAAGAACACACAACTCCACACAGCCCACCTGTGATTTTCTTTCGCTGTAGACTCCCTATGAAGTTGCTCCCAATCTGTAACTCTTATCTCATTGCCTATTTGAGTCCCTGCATCTTCATCTGTGCATTCCTGTGTATGGGTATGTTGGTGTGAAGTGGCTTCAGCCTTTCCGCTTGTCCGTCTCCCTCCCCCTATGTGTTTCCTTCTTTCTCCCATCTGTGATGTGCTTCAGTTTTGCTTCTTGTGTGTTTGCATCCTGTCCTCTATCCAGAAGGTCATGTGACTCAAGCTCTAGCTGTTGGGTGACACCTGGAAGCTGCTTGACATCCTCTTTGATGTTCAAAAATGTTTACATTGTAAATATCAAAGTGTCATTTGGATATTGTTATTTGATTGTGTTGGTTTATTCTGCATAGACAATTTTAAGAATAATGTAACATTTGATACCAGCCTCCAGCCTCTTACAGACATGTGTTTGAGTTCCCGTCGACTAACCTGCTTGGTACTGAGGAGGTGGTGTAACCGGTGAGCTTTGTGGACCTTTGCAGTCTGCTCTTTCACCATCTCCAGGCAGTCCCTCTCTCTCTTCTGGAGTTCCTCAAGTTCACCCAGCTCCCTCCTACAGGGCACACACCATTCACAATTATTTCTGCAATTCAAATTCCAAATTTCCATTTAAAGTATGTACATGATAGGTGTTTGATGAAGCTCACAGTCCAAATGAAAATATGATATACAACGCCCGATATATAAATACAAAGATGAATAGTTAAGTTCATAATTGTACACATCTAGGATACTATTCTGTGGCTTTGTAAGTGATCATATCAATCTAAAGACAGAGGAGCTGTGTGAGAAAAAGCGGCGAATGAGACAGCTTGGAAGGAAAACAGCAAAGTGAGAGCACAAGAGGCTATAAGTGGGAGGATGATGGATATATTTCATCACCGCAGCCAGGACAGGTCCGTCTGTGACATCTGTTAGCGAAGCTGGCTAAATGGGATGCATTAAAAGCCCATACACAGCAATTTCATTCCGCAATCACACAGCCTTATTGTTACAAGGGGGTAATAACTTAGAAATGGAATGGAAACAATTACTTAAACACACAGGACATGGTAATGTGAAAATACACACAGAGACACACAAGACTAAAGCCAATCTAATTCCACTAGAGCAATACCAATAAGAGTTTAGCCGTAGCTCATCAACAATCCTTCATCTCCTTTCGCTTTTTTTTATTCCTCCTTTTTTCTCTCCTTCTTCACAACGGTTTCTTTCTCTGCCCAACTTCGGTTTTCAATTACAAGCCTCCACAGAGGAATCAGAATATTCATAGTGTGTCTGTAATGTGAGGTTAACACATTCTGCGCGGCTACTGACATTTAAAAAGAAATCACAACACCGTTCCCGTTGCCTTTGCATTCTCATCTCTTCCTCCGCAGCAGATTAAATTACAAAATAAATGAAATATGCAGAGCACTTTGAGAGTGTGTGTGTGTGTGTGTGTGTGTGTGTGTGTGTGTGTGTGTGTGTGTGTGTGTGTGTGTGTGTGTGTGTGTGTGTGTGTTGAGCATGAGAGCAAGTCTAAATGTGACCGTGTGCATTTATGCAATATTAAGCTCAGTAATTTAAGACCGTGTGTGTATGGATGTGTGGCTGTATGTCTCTATATATTCTTTTGTGTGTGTGTGTGTGTGTGTGTGTGTGTGTGTGTGTGTGTGTGTGTGTGTGTGTGTGTGTGTGTGTGTGTGTGTGTGTGTGTGTGTGTGTGTGTGTGTGTGTGTGTGTGTGTGTGTGTGTGTGTGTGTGTGTGTGTGTGTGTGTGTGTGAATATACTGTAGATGGAAATTAACTGGACGTTATCTCTGTCACAGTATTTTGTCCTTGGGATTACTCTTGTAATCTGTTTTTCAG